TTGGAAGTATACATACAATGGTTGCTCTTCTAAAATTCATACATTTTTTTTCTATTAACATATGTTAGTGTTAGCATAAAAAATAAAGAACGTCTCTTCTATTTCAAGATTTTCTAACAAGAATAATGAGCCATTTTCTTAATGTATATTTTTTCGACATTTTTCCCTTTCGACATTTTTCCCTTTCGACATTTTTCCTTTCGATATTTTTCCTTTCGACATTTTTCCTTTCGACATTTCTACTGCCAACCAATGGTTCATTTGTAGCTATAATTTCAATCGACACTAGTCGGTTAATATTGGAAGTGTTATCATTGTTTTCAATCGATGTTTCTGATGGACTATTACCGATTTGACTCTTGTAAGTATTCATTCTAGAAAAGAGCTAGTATTCATTCACAAAAAAGAATAAGTAATTTTCTTTTGAAGAATGACATTGATCTGTTTCGGTGACTAACAACTACTCACATTGAATTATTTCATATTACTTTTGTGTTCAAACTATTATTGTTCAAAAGAAATGAATCAAATCGTATGGATCACGAAAAAAAAATGAATAAAGAAATGTACTAATTCTATTTGGAAGAGGAATATTAAATAAAAGAAGGAAAGAGTCATAACGAAGATGTCGATTACAACAAAATAATAGTCAATATAAGAAGGGTATGCTATAGAGCAACCTTAAATGAGTTCATCCTTGCTGAAGACACTTTTCAGAAGGCTCGTTTCTCGTATGGAATTCTAATTTTATGAAAGAATAAAAATCTCATTGCAAACTATTGCCACTGTTCCATTATAGAATGTAAGATAGTCAAATGTAGTTGACAAGAGCTGAATAAATGTTCGAGTACGTCGAATAAAATGAAGAAGAGTAAAATGAGGAAAATATTTAAAACCGTATCAATTTGGAAGCCAGAGATCTCTATCCATGTACGATGTTGTCATTGGAATATTCGTATTCTTATTCGTGCATGTTTAATTTTGACCCATACTATCATTATTCATTCCATACAACAAGTCATCATGTTCGAACGGATCCGTAACAAAACGAAAACCAACACAGTTCATCGTTTCAAATGAAATAATTATCTGAAAAACATATTATTCTATGAAGAAGATGAAAATAAACATCAACCAAGACGTATTCATGATGTTTTAACATTTCACTTTTAGCAACAAAGATCGTCAGATGGTATTTATTCGAGTTCAAATTTTTGGAAAGAAAATAGAAATATTTGAGAAGAAGATTGTTAGAGATTTCCATAGCTACATGCATTTCTCAGTATATGTTGTAGGCTTTTCGGCTTTATGTTGATTGTGGAAGATCTTATCGCTTCATCTCAATGTGCTTGGATTAGTTCATGATAGCGTATATTGTTGATCAAGGTTATGTGGCTCATTAAAGGTGTGGATGTGTATAGCTACCACATATATTATTCATATTTTAAAGTAGTCGATAAAAATTATCCAATGGCAAGTATCTGTACAATAGGTCTTCTAAAAAAAGAGAAAGAAATCAGTAGAAAATACGAAAAATTCACGGAGAAAAGATAGGAGCTCATTGAAGTCTTTGACTGTGCTGTAGAAAACAAAGAAAAAGTTAAAGATCAGATCTAAAATAAGAATATAATATTTCGATCTAACAATTCTGAATGTTTCCAGAATGGTATGAGCTGACTTGATGCCAACGGAAGAATCATGCACTGGATTGGTGATCATGGCCCATTTACTTTATTATATCGTTGTGTTCAATACGAATAACAGGCCATCAGAACTTCATACATCCTATGCTACATTGCTATGAAGGAAATGATCGGATATAGTCGTTGTGTCTGACTTAAGTCGACACTTTGGATTACCAATTCTATGATATAGATGCGTTTGTCGATACCATGTTTGTATATCATTTACGTGTCATCATTGAATACTATTCAATCGAATAAATAATCTTGTATGGTGGCAGAATAAAATCCACTAACGATCGGATGAGATGGAATGATAAACATAGTCGCCTGGTTGGTCAATGCCAATTTTTACACTCAAATTACAATGGATAATGTTCGAGGATGCGGTTCAATATGAATGAAGATGGGGTGATTATTGTCTATATCAGATTCGATCTCGATGGTGAAGCGTTTGGTTTTTAGCTCGAGATGAATAGGATAATGTAAGGAGTAGGTGTTGGAGACCAGTGAATGTTGGTTTGACGTTCCATTATTCATTTCGTAATTTTTCTTGTCGTGTATCTTAGACTGGATGATGCTATTCGAATAGATTTCAAACCTTTTGATGAGCAAAACGAAAAAAAAACGGTTTGACTATGACAAATATTTAAAATTAGAGAAAAAATTAGTGCAAATTTTATCCAGAGTAGTTTTTTTAACCTTAGTTTTAGTAGTAGTATGGGTTCAATCTTGGATATTGTTACAGATGTCATTTTGTTACAATTTTGATAGTTGATGGTTAGACAGTCGAGTTAGCTTCTGATTTCATCAGTTAATATGTGGTTGCAGTCAAGTTTATGTCTTCTGATCTGACTGTGCGTGTTAATTGGAGATGTGCGATGATTTGTTGGTTATTTGCTAGTAATGTGTCATAGTTTGTTCAATTGAGTACACCATTGACTCAGTGTACACCAAGAAAATTATCAATCTACAATAGAATAGTATATAATTATGATAATAGCAAAAGTGTATCTACACTTTTCGTTTATTTTAGGTTGAACTATTTCACACACACTACAAACACTAGAGAGTAATTCGTATCTATTGAATGATCAATGCTGCTTCTATTGAATAAATCTAAATTTTTAATAATGATTGTGTCACTTTCATATATCATTGAGTTGATGTTGTGGTTGATATTGATGAATGATTCAAATCAGCACACCAAACAAGATTATACGGACGACCATAGCGTTTTTCTGCATCACCACCGATCGGACAAATCATATTCAATTTGGTTTCACCATGAATAATGAATAATCTTTCGATGATGCATCGTAGTATAATCGAACCACCATCATCTGGTACTAGATCAATGAACAAGAATAAAATACATTGATGATTGAGATCAAGAGAGGCGGCTCACTTACAAACGGCCACGATCGCCATTTTATACAAATCCAATGCAACATAGGGCAGCTGGCTCACGGAAGAAGAGAGAAAATGTTCAAAAAATAAACGCTGTTCTTGTACTTGTTGATATGAGAAGACATAGGTTGTTGGTGGTAATGGCACATTATCTAGATATTGCGCTATACGATGATTATCTGTGGCAGTAGTTGCCATTACAGAGGCCACTTCAGGATCTGTAGTGGAAGTTCGTCGAAAGTAAACAGCATTTTGTGCTAGTGCTTCGTCCCAAAGTAGAGGAATAAAACATCAGTAGATTGGATTGCAATCCAAAAATGAACGAAGTACTACTGGGCATCGAGCTGAATGTTGATAGAGACGCATATCATTGGCGATTTCTTTCCTATAACATTAAAACAAAAGACGAACATGACATAGTCGAACTGAACGATCCTGTATATTTCGTTACTCTTTCTCATCGGGATCGAGCATTGATCCTCGAAATAGAGGAGTACCAGTCAATTTTTCATGTATAATTCGATTTCCATGTTCTCGATGATCTGTATCATAAAAAGAAAAATTGAAAACATACAAATGTTGACTTTCGAACAGAAATTTATATTTACAAGCCATGGCATCAGCCAATGTTTTTGCTGTTGAATCAGCATAATCATAATGACCACATGGACATGTCATGGCATAGATTACATTCGATGTAGTGCATGTCTAAAATTACAGTCATAGTCTAAGGAGAAAAAAATTAAATATTCGATAATAACATACTGCTGGACAATTAAGATATGTGATATATCCATTGAGAAATTGATGCATTGAACTTGAAGCAAAATCGACGACTGGCCATGGTTGACTTCTCTCGTAAGTATGTAATGGAAGACAACATGAACAAAAAAGATCACCACATAGAACCAATGCATATCTTGCTTGAGGCTCATCGCCTCCACAGGATAGACCTTCTATATTAGACGGAGGTTTAGCTCCTCGAAACGAGCAAGTTTTCATGCCGAATAGGTCCACTGAAAAAAAAACTATCACTATGTATAAAACTATGAAATCATATATCTCGATGAAAACTGACCATCTATTTGTAGATAGAATTCTAATGCCATGGCCATTTGTTTCGAATTGAGTGTTGGTTCTTTCAAGGCAATACCTTTCTTAAATAAAACATTTCGTCGAAAATATTCATGCAACGTAAGAAGAAAAGAACAGATTCCACGAAGTC